AACCTCCACCTAAAATTCTTATTCATTGTAGCAGATAGTGAAAGTCAAAAGAGGCCTTTGCCTAATTATTTTCTCTCTTCCGGCAGATTATCTTAACTGCCTTAGAAGAGGTCTGTAAAAAGGCCAGAAGAACATGYGCCAGTGAGAGCTGGAAATATTACATTTTCTTTTAATGTGCTTCCCAACTACAAGTCTGCCTGCAGTTCTCATTTGTCTTTTTTCCTTTCTACCCACTTCTGTGCAGTCATGTCTTAAAGCTGTATTAAACACTGGCAAACACAATTACCTATTTACTAGCATATTTTTCATTACTAAGGGTCATTCTCCAAGATCACCAGCCTAACTGGTTGAGAATGTCCAATAATTTTAGCCTATCCCCTTCTTCAAAGCCACTAAAAGAGAGCAAACTGAATAGCTAAATGGCTTTAAGGAGTGGAAATGAGGGGAAACTGCATTGGCAAAAAGAGAGGGACAAGAGGTGGAACAGAATTGCCCAGGAGAAAGCTGGAACACAACCTGAYCAAATGCCCCTATTCAATGCCTTGAATTCTCTTTACAGTTGGTGCAGTTGTGGGTGGCTCAGCCATCTTAGCCAAGTGACAATTCCAAGTTCTCAGCTGTTCAGTTTCTAACTAAATATTTTTAAKCCTCATTATTCCTACCAAAATTACTTTACCCTTACATTATACTACTGTACTGTAACAATTTTAGCTATAAGCAAGAAAGAAAAAAAATGTCCAGCAGGTGTACAAAGATCCATGTTAGAGATTTCCCGGGAGAACACTTGGCAACTTCCTTGTCCTCTGGARTGGCTCACTCCCTAGGAGCAGGGTGCATTACAGAGAAATGCATAATACTGAAATAAGGAAAGATAGGGGCTTAAACAGCTTTTTCCTTGGTACAGGGTGCCTCACCTGAAAATTACAGGCCCTGTATGGATGCAGCTGCATTTTCATGAGAAAAAAAGAAGTGGCCGTTGTCACTCTAGCTCTTCTACCAGTTTGGTTTTGTCATGGCACTGCAAGAGTAGCAGGCATTGTGTAAAGTATAGGAGCAAGAACAGAACAAATGACCTGCTTTTCATAAGCCACCCGATACAAAACAAGAGTCATAGATAGCAATAGAGGAGTCTAGGGAAATAGGGTAGAACTAGTCAGCATCTTTTCAATGGCTAAGAAGCTTTTTTAAATAAGCATCACAGAAAAAAAGAGTAGCAAAAGCTAGGTTGTCTTGGACAAATCTACTTCTGYACCCATGGCTGACCTTGAAAAGACAAAATACAAGGCTTGCGAAATCAGCAACAGAACAGAATAACAGCTGAATCTCCCAAATTAGCATTTTTTAACCCTGTAAAAGTAGCAGGAAAAGGCAAAGCATCCTGTCCGGAGCTCAAACCAAAAAAAAAAGAAAAACAAAAGCCAACCAAAACAAACAAAAAACTCTAAGGGAGAAAAGAACTCAAGGGTTATTTCTTGATTCATATAGGAAAGTTTCTAATAACTCCTTCCTAGAAGAGTGGTTTCCTATACCATTATTCATTCACCTTATGCTGTATAAAAACATTTGGAAGCCATCCATCATAGCACTCTTTCCATCAGCTTGCGATAGCAGAACTTCATGCAAATACAACATCCTACTTATGTATTTAGCATATATGTATTACATTCTTACTACAAAGACATCTGTCTTCTCTGAAGCAAGCTGAAGCCAACCCACTTCCCTGAAAGAGGCCTTTTAAGAAAGAAGAGTGAAGTGAACAGCAGATTAGTTCAGACTGGGAAGTTCTTACCTCTCATTTCAGATAAACCCCAGGTTGTTTTTCGCTCATCATGTAAGTGGATCATTTAGACAAATATTTTCTGAAGAGCTACGACTCCAGGGCAGGAAAAGAATCCTGAGAGGAATTCTCTAGGGAGACCAGGAACAAGGATTGCTCTGTAGATGAGGAGGGTGAAGTGAAAGTCTTGAACATCACAGTAAGTGAATAGGAAGCTGAAAAGTAAGAATGGATGTGAAGCGGGAGAAAGAAGCCTCTTAATTTTCCTTGGCAAATCTRAAAACTGAGGACAAGATTTTTTCAGGAGTTTATGCATTCTAGAYTGAGGTCCAATCCCAGGTTTGTTCAGTATTTATTTCATCTTGCAGTTTGTCATGATCTTGTTTAATTTGCTGGAGAATTAAAAGGTTTTCCTTCAGTTTGGTGGGGGTTACACTTCCTTTTCTTAGTWGACACTGCAAGTCTGTCAGTGGTTTGCAGCTGTTTGGATTTTCAGGTGAAAGAATGATTTTCTATTTGTTACAGGACACTGTTTGTTCCATGATAGCTGAACATTTGAAAACAATCAGCAGACTTTGGGAGATGCATAAATTAAGTCTCAAATGCATCTGTATGTCACTTCAGGCATTGTTTATTCAGGGTGGAGTAGAAGTTCTGAGGTTTCAGTGAACTTCAAAAATTAGCATGTTTTATTTTCAACACAAAGAGCTTTGAAGGTGCAGAACAGGTCTGGAGGGGAGCAAAAGGAAAGATGATACAGGTGACGTAAAACACCTGATTCTGAAAGTATCTTTGTTTGAAGGCTTGTTAAGTCTTTCCCTTGTTTGTTTGGTGAAAATGGTTTGTTTTGTCTCTGTCATCCTTCATCCCCACTTCTTTGCTTCTCATTATGTACCAGGATTTGTTGTCACTTGTTTCTGCTCACCAGCACTGACCCAGGTGAAGCGTGCATTGTTTGTCTGTGCAAGACAGGAACTCTAATTGTTTCTGACTGCCAGGTTATAAAGTACCTGTATAGAAGTTTTTGCAAGTAAACAAAGTAAGAAAACCTTCTTTTCACTATCATCTATAAGTATGTTTTCCCCTCTCCTGTGTAGCCTGAAGGTCACTGTGTCCACCTGCTCATGTCCCAAGCCAGCAGTGCCCCAGGCACAGACCTATCTTTTCCTCCCAGGGGAGAAACTTCTATTCCAAAAGAGCTTCACTCACAGGAGAGTTGCTTGTTAACTCTGTTGTCATCATATAAAATTCTGGTTTGTATATCTCAGTAGTTGTATTTTTGATAGATCTGTGTAGTTTGTTTTATTACTTTAGAAAAATGATAAAAGAAAAAAATGACAGGGTTGTTTTGTTTTTTTTTAACCTGGAACAATGAAACAAGCAAGTGACCGATGTGGTGAAGGATGTTCTCAGTATTTCTACAAAGCTTAGTCTCCAGTTACTATGTTTTTGTGCCAGTGACTCAGCAATAAGTAATCTGTAAAGTAATGAAAAGTAAACTCAATAAAAAGTAATCTGTGTACATTTCAGTCCTTTCCGAGAGTACATATTTATTTTTAACATTCTTGTGATAACATTAGATTTGTAGTATATTAATGAAAAACACAATATTACCATTAATTCTAATATTTTTATGTTATGTTTTATGGATATGTAGTAGCTGTTATATTCTTCTTTTTTCCACTTTTGATGCTCTGCTGGTTTCAAGTGGCTTTCACCCAAACTGCTTCCAGTCTTGTCTCTTTCACCAAGTCTCAGCACAGGGGAATGCTGTAAGATACSGGCCTTGTAAAATATTAACTGTCCGCTTGAACATTTGTGCTGCTAATGATATCTCTGAATGACAGGCCATCTGTCCTGTTCACAGGAAAAATCGAACAAGCCAGATTGAAATGGTGGAACTTGAGCTGAGAGGGAATCAGAGCGAGATATGCCTCCAAGACATGTTGAATGCCATTTCTAGGCCTTTTATGGCATTCAGTCATAAACCCAAATATGTGGAAGAGCAATAAACCAGCAAAAGTCTTGCTGAGAAGGTACTTWGCTACGGTGGTGTGAAGTTTCTAGAGGTTGTTATTGAAGGTTTTCTAGTTTGCTGTCTGTGCATATCTAAATTCCCCTATCTGACCAGTTCATCTTCACATCCTGCTGTGCTCCATCCCCACCCAGAAACTGTGTTCCCTTCTCTGTCCCTCAAGAGCTCACTGAGTCAGGCAATTTTGGAGCCTGACTAGCGCAGGAACTGCTTCCCACCATCAGTAGCTGCCAGTGCGGGAGGGGAGCCAGTATTTCCCCGCTCCCAGTGCCACAGGCTGTGATCTGTGCTGCATATGCTGGGCCTCTTCAGCTCAAAGGATGCTACCGCGGATCAAAGAAAAGCATCCAGGATTAAATGTGCCAAAAAGCCCTGTTACTCTGCAGGCTCGGGCTTATGGCCACCACCTGAAACAGTCCTAGAACCGAGCAGAATTTCGGCCCAGGARCTGTTTGCCACAAACACATTCGTAGGAGACAATGCTTGGTCACAGTCCTTCGGATTTCTTGGGTGGGTGAAAAGACAGCAAGCGGCTCTGAATGTTAGAAACAGGCAAGACTTTAGACTTTGGAATGGGCTGCCCAGGCAGTCAATGGAGTCACGTGTCCTTGGAGGTGTTTAAGGAAAGACTGTATGTGGCACTCCGTGCCATGGTCTGGTTGACATGGTAGTGTCCGYTCATAGGTTGGACTCGAYGATCTCAMAGGCCTTTTACAGCCTAACTGATTCTGTGATTCCCAGTTACCAGAAGAAATTAAAGGCTTCTAGCTGCTCAGGGATCGGGATCGGGATCGGGATCCCGACCCCAATCCCAATCCCAATCCCGATCCCCATCCCGATCCCGATCCCGATCCCGATCCCGATCCCGATCCCGATCCGATCCCGATCCCGATCCGATCCCGACCCCGATCCTGATCCCGATCCCGATCCGATCCCGATCCCGATCCGATCCCGATCCTCTCCTGCTCCGGCTGTGGGCACCGCCGCACGCCCCGCACGCCCCGCTCCCATTGGCCAGCGCGCCGCCGCTCCCTGTTTCTATTGGCCAACGCTGCTCCCCGGCTGTATCGCGATTGGCCGCGCGTGCCGCCTCTCCCTGTCACTGCTGGCCCCGCCCCCCGCGCCGCAGTGGGGCGATCGGGCGATGCGGTGACGTCAGCGGCGGGCGGCGGCGCCATTGGCGGGCGGGGCGTGACGCGGGATGTGGCGCGCGCTGCTCCGGGCCGGGAGCGCGGCCCTTCGGAGCGGCCCCGCTGTGAGGGGAGAGCGGCGGGAGCCGAGCGCACGGACCGGGAGGTGAGCGGGGAACGGGACACGGGACACGGGGCACGGGCCTGCGACAGCGGCGGGAACAGCTGCCCAGCGGGCTCACGGGCTGCGGGGGCCGAGGGTGGTCATCCTGCCCATCAACCCTGCTGAGGCGGATCTGGAGCGTTGTGTCCAGTTCTGGACTCCTCARTGCCAGGAAGACGTGGAGATCCTGGAACGGGTCCAGCGGAGGGCAAGGAAGGTGATTAAGGGACTGGAGTATCTCTGACAAGGAAAGGCTGAGGGAGCTGTGTCTGTACAGCCTCGAGAAAAGACAACTGAGAGGGGACATCATTAATATCTATTAATATCTATTAATATCTGTTAATATCTGTTAATATCTGTGGGAGGGTGCTAAGACGATGGCCCTTATTGCTTAGCAACTGGACAAGAGACAACGGGCAGAAAGTGATGCCCAGGGATTTGCACCTGAACATGGGGAAGCACTTCCATACTGTGCAGGTGACCGTGCACTGGAACAGGYTGCCCGGAGACGCCGTGGAGTCTCCCTCACTGGAGACAGTTCAGAACTATCGGGATGCAGGGCTGTGCCGTGTGCGCTGGGATGACCCAGACTGAGCAGGGAGGGCCAACAGGTGACCGACCCCTGTGGTTCCTTCCAACTTGACCCATTTTGTGACTCTTTGGGCTGCCGGGAGCACGCCCATGGCAGCAGAGGCTCGGGGCGGGGCAGGTGTTGCTTTGGAGGTGCCTCAGGTTGTAACCGTGTTACTGAGCCTTTAAAGTCCTGTGGAGAGGAGAAATATTCGTGGATTGCAGGATGCTCAGCGTCCTAAGTGCAGACAGAGTTACTGTGCACAGCATGCGCAGGCAGTGGGGTGAAGCGAGGTGAAGGTCAGAACTGGAATTCCTGCCACTGACAGTCCGTAAAAATGTTAGGTTCAGCCTGGCTGTCCCGCAGCAGCTGCTGCAAGGGTTTACTGAGAAATGAAAATGTTTCAAGCWCCTGCCAAGTGCTATGTGATTTGTRTTGTGGAYAGGAAATTTCASGAACCTAAAAGCAATTAGTGTGCAATTTACGCCATGTCAGAAAAGCCATTTGGTTATTTCTCACACTCTGCCCAGAACCTTATGGATGTTGTTTTTAGTGACTGACTCTTCATTGTCTGTCTTCAGCAGAACGTGTGCTACCATCACGATGCCTGAAGTAAAAACAGATCACCTGGATGARCAGCAGGTGCAGCTCCTGGCAGAGATGTGCATCCTTATTGATGAAAATGACAATAAGATTGGAGCAGATACCAAGAAAAACTGTCATTTGAATGAGAACATTGATAAAGGTATGGTTTGCTTATCTTCAAATTGAACCATTTAGTTGATTAAATATTTTCAGAAGCACAGTCATGATTAAAGCCTTAATCTCAGGTGAATGTTGGATCAAACCAGAGCAAGTACTTCCCCACAGCCCGCTCCTCCCCAGTATAAAATATCTAATGTTAAAATTCTGCAGAATGGAGGAGCACTCAATTGGAGGCACCTACAAAGGAGAGAAATGTGTGCTTGAATAATACATACAAGCTTGATGAATATTTTTAATTGCATTTTGAAGATAAAACTGTAATTTTTCGTATTATTGATACCTGGTTCTATGTAGCCTTTTCTGAAGAATGCCACTTGCTTCTTTGCTGAGATCTTTTTCAAGTAGAAGAGGCTTTCATTTCAAAGTAGCTCACCCCCCTCACACACTGCTGATAGGAGAGAGTTTAACTGATTGTGTGTTTAWATGAGGTTCATCAGTCTCTCATAGTAGCATATCCTTTTATCTACTTGGGGAAGCTTCCTGAACAGTGATGAATAACAGACTCAAAAGGTGAAGAAAACAGCAATTAAACTTTTTAAATGGAGCCTATTTTACTTGTACTTTTGCAGTTCTTGAAGTCTTGAAATTCCATACAGGTTTTTAGGAATTTTTGAGTCATCTCTTTTTGATTGGAAATTTATGGATACCAAGCTGTCCTTGGAAGCTTGCCCAAATGTGCATATTCAGAATGGTGAACTGAGTTTGGAACTCTTCTGCTGCATTTTTGTTCTAAGCACTTTTCTAATTTCATTTTTTGCATAAGCTGACATAGAAACCTGAATAATAGCTCAAGTTATTTATCAAAATCCTTGGGTTTTAACATATATTAATTTTAAATTGGATTACCCAAAAATGAGGCCATTCTAAGCCCTTAAACTGTCTTCATACATTTTTTTCTCTTCTGTAAAAGATCTCTTTTTTGTTTTTTATTTTTAGGTTTACTGCACCGAGCTTTCAGTGTTTTCTTATTTAATACAGAAAATAAAYTGTTGCTGCAGCAGAGGTCAGATGCAAAAATTACRTTTCCAGGTTAGTACTGAAACTTTGTGTTTATATAAATATTTTATTTAGATCAATATTTAAAAAAAATATGTCAATCCAATCCTGCAGTGTAACTCATTCTGAGGTTTTAGAATTTAGTTCTTTGGAGAGGAGATACTGCCAATACTTTTGAGAGTTCAAGATATCTTGTGCGTGAAGTAAGATAATGGGAGCACTAATGTATCGTTATATAAACTCTTGGGAGATGATTGTTCCCTGTGTGTTTGACCTGCAAAGGCAGAGGGTGTGGTGTTACTGCCTCTGCTGCAAGACACATTTATTGGAGTTGAAGAGATGGCTCTGGTGGCTGTGAGGAGTGTCCCATTCCAGTGGTAAAAGCTGATGTGCAGCAGAGCCCTGGTGCTTGGGAGATCTTTGGACCTTTGTGTTGTCTTAACAAACTCTTCTTTAACTATGCAAGAAGTAAGACTGTGGCCAAACTCTGTAGTGCTTGACTTTTGAACACTCTGGAACTATTACTGCCAAATGGAGAGGCATAAAAATAAGAACGGGAATGAAACAGAAATAGCATACATGAGACATGCTGGAGGGAGCATGAAGTCGCAGAATTTTCAATGGGAAACAAAATCAAATGTTTCCAATGAGGAACAAAGACCTTTTTATTCCTTCCAAGCAAATCTTTACTTTGGAGATTGTTTCTAATTTTTCCTTCACTGCTAACTGGTCAAAATGCTCAAATGTGGTTTGTATTATTCTATTTTAGATGCTTTTGAGTTCACCTTTTACAAGAGGTTGAAATAGAGTATGGACACATTGTYCTTTAAACACAGATATAAACTTTGTGTTTCATTCTACTTCCTGTCAGCTGGTCTTGACRCTCTGGGAGTATTTTCAATATCCTGTTACATATAAATTCCCAAAAGTAGTTTTAATTAGCATTTCAGAGATCAACAAGGTCTTTAAAGACTGGATCTCCAGGTAGATGTTGCCTTGGGGATAAGAGTGCCTGCCCTCATGTGTATCAAATGCTAGCCTGCAAAGTAGTGCTTGGCAGAGGCAAATCCCAGTGTAAAATATATAAAGAAAAACAAGAGGTGCAAAAGGTCCCTTTTTTTTCTCTGCGAAAGGGAACAAAGGTGTGATGTATTGAACAACTGGCCTTTGTCTGTGGAGAGTTTTGGTGTTGTGGTTTTGTTTCTTTTTTTTCCAAGTCATTCTGTGTCAAAAATGGACTGATCCTAACTTCTTGCAGATTGTTTTACCAACACATGTTGCAGTCATCCTCTAAGCCATCCACTAGAACTGGAAGAAAATGATGCCATTGGTGTTCGGAGAGCAGCGCAGAGGCGACTGAAAGCAGAGTTGGGAATTCCCATGGAGCAGGTAAAGGAAGGAAGGAGAAACAGGAATTCTTACCAGCACTTGCCAGTTTACAGACCAACTGTGTCTGGCAGACAGTCAGCCTCAAACCTRAAAATTGACTTATCTTTGGAGATGCAGAGAACTGAGTGAGCTTCCAGAGATCCCTGGAGGGCAGGGTTACACATGGTGTATCAGTTTGTGGTTCAGATCTTGGCTTCAAATAGTTGTTAAGTCTTTTCTTGGGAGGTGAGGGATAGGTGCCAATATTTGTGTTCACCACTGCTCTGTGAGTGTGCAGTAAAGTCTGATAAACATTATTTAAAGCATATCATATAAGAGAAATACACTTCAAGTATTACAGGGTGAGTCTGGAAAGAGAAATGCTGTGCAGTTCATGCCATCAGGGTGATTTAAATCTTTTTCCTAGTAATACTTTGTGAAAAAGCATGCTGCACTTGGGACACTTGGGAAAAAMTAATTTCTAAGAGGATAATAGCTGATAAATTGTACTGCAATGCCCAGCAGTGCAATTTTCCTGGTCTGGCACCGGTTCTGACAAASTGTTTTGGTTGTAGGTAACTCCAGAAGAAATCTCCTACCTGACACGAATTCACTACAAGGCCAAGTCTGATGGGATCTGGGGAGAACATGAGATAGACTATATTTTATTTGTGCAGAAGGATGTGACACTGAATCCTGACCCCAAYGAGATCAAAAGCTACTGCTACGTGACACAGAAAGAACTGAAACAGCTCTTGGACAAAGCTGCCAAGAACGAAGTCAAGATTACTCCATGGTTCAAGCTGATAGCAGAGACCTTCCTTTTTAAGTGGTGGGATAACTTGAATAACTTGAWCAAATTTGTTGAACACGAAAAAATACACCGAATGTAAACAGCTGGGATAAAAGGTGCTGAAGGCTAGCAATGATGTGTTGTCTCATTAATACTGATCAATCATGATTTAAGTGCAGAGAATTGGTCCACATGGAGCATGTTTATACAGATGTTATAGCCAATGTTTKTTCTTCTGTTGCCTCCTCTTCCACCTCATCCTTGGTTCTCTTGGGCAAGTTAAGCTTGATTTTATGTAAAATGGGTAACAGTAAAATGAGTAACAGTAGCATGAAACCCCAGAATGTGACCACGCCTTAAATAGTGATTATGTATGACTCGGCTCTGCAGTCATGTTGAGAAGACCAGTTGCCAGAAGAAAAAAACAATTCAAAGTAATCACGATTATTTTTAATTGCAGAAAGCAAATCTCTTCAGCTACTGTACTCTATAATTAACCAAACCCATAAAAGCTTAAGTAATTGGATTGTCTGCATGGAGTGAGTTTGGCTTTGAAGTGCTGACATATGTGTTCAAGCTTTAGATAATGAACAGTGTTTGGGGTTTTTTAATCCTCCAGGCTTTTCTGATTAGTTGATGGCTGAGTACTGGATATCTCTTAAATTTTAAAAAAAAGGGTTGATTACATCAAATGAAAATGTGCCCTGTCTAATTCTAGAAGTAATCTGTCTTTGGAGACAGGATATGCACTAAATGGCTCTTCTCCATCTTCCAGAAAACAAAGGTATCTTGATATAAGATATTCTATTTTCTTGTARTAGTCATTCTCAGACAGCATAAATGTACTGAACCCCAAAATTTGAGACTTACAATTTGTGGGCTTAAACTGGATCTTGATGGCAGTTAATTAGAAATTGTACGAGTGCCACAGCTAATCCTTTTTGGTCTTGCAGTCAATTGTTAGTAACATGGACTGCTTTTTTAGTAGGACAAATACTCAAGGGTGCTTCAATTTTAATTATAGATTTGGGGTATTTTTTCCTAAAAAAGCTTAATTGTGATTTCTTCTGTTAGCACACTACCCAAACTAAACTTTTTAAGTTAACTTCTGGAGATGTCTTGATGAAATAGGATGTTTGATACCACCTCTCATTGCAAGTAAAACACRGTTGTAACAAGTTTTTGCCTGGTTTCAGGGTGAAATTAACTTTTTCCACTGGTCAGGGTTTCTTTTCTTATCCCAGTTGTAACTGCAGCACTGAAGGTTCTATGATGTACCAGCATCTCCCCTGGTTCAACACTTAGGTTTTAGGGCCAAGTCTGTTGTATGTTGGCCAGAACTGATGTACTGTCTTAAAGCAAGTACTGGGTGAGGGAACAGTGATGTGACGTAGCAGCTCTCTTGAATTCAGTGCAATCAGCTATGTTACCCAGCTGTAGGTAATGGAGTAGTTCCCAAATAATTTCTAAATTTAACTTTGTAATTAAAACACCTTACCTAAATCCTTGGATTGTTGTTTTCTTTTCAGATGTGAAGTCACCTGGAGACTAATCCCTGTCATTGCCACACTGTAAGCACCACCCTGCCCATTAAACACCACTGAAGCAGTGCCATATAGGCGGGGCAGTAGGGCATAGATCTGTGCTAGAAAAAAGTTGTTTTTCTAGTTCAGCTTGGAGCAAAAGCTGGCAAAGCATATCCTGAAGCAGAAAAACTCCATAAGGAAGCTGGAAGAAAGGTTTTGCTTGACAGTTCCTCAAAGTCCCTTACAGTTTCTCTTGATTTTGGTCTTTGCAGCATTACTATATGCTTTAGTTCTACACAAAGTAGATGAAACTATATAGATTTACATATGATGCAAAAGCTGACATCTAAATAGATATTGGTTGCATTTTAAAAAGTAGTGATTTAAGATTTCTTCCCCCTAACACACACCCTTTAGGTGTGTGTGTTTTTAACATGGATTTTAGGTGTACTGTTCAAGCAACCCATTTATAATGCATCGTTTTACAAACCTCAGATAACCATTGACCAAGTAGGGACAAAAAGGAAGTATTTAACAKTTCACAATACATTTTGCTTTGAGCAGATACAGAATTTTGTCTATCAGCTTCTGAAGAGAAAATGCTTGCTAAGCCAAGGATGACAGTAGCATGCATGTACTTAGGACAAAATTTGATCCTCATCCACTACACATTTGAAATACTAATATTAATCTGAAATGTTCAAAGTTGTAAGGTGTAACCTTCCCTGCACACACTGTTTTAGGTTATTACAGACAGCAGGTCAGTGCTGAACTGCAACTTTTTTTTTCTCCTCCAGTCATCCTTTATCTTAATGAAGTGGCAGCATTTCTCCTGTGCTTCAGTGCACGAATACAAACTTTGTGCAGTCCTTGTTGATCTCCCGTTATTTCCCCACTCATCTCACCCTTCACCAGCAATATAAACTCATCACAAAGAATTTCTTGCATGCAGCAACCCAAGCCTTACTGGACCTGGGCATTTTTAATTAAGGGCAGTTTAACAAGTGTTCACATTTCTAGACTTCACTTATTTTAAATTAGTTTTGTATAGAAATATAAATGCTTTACTGRTACATGAAAGTCAGGAATAAGAGCATGGAAGAAAGTACTTTTTATGTGTTTATAAATGGGTTGTGCCAGTAGTGTTGAGTAATTTCTCACAGTATTGCTTGCAATTGCAACATCAAGGTATTGAAACACTGAAGTATGTATCTTTAACCACTAGGACAAACCACACACTTAAACACCAAGTACTAAAAAGGATGAGAGGACTAGAAATTAGTTTTAATACATTTCATTTTTAATTTTGATTCACAWGAGTGCTTATCTTCTCTGTGTTTTACCAGATTTTCTCTTTCCAGCCAGCAGATGCCTGGGCTTCAAGTTAAATATGTGCCTGTCTGCCTCTCCTTTCCTGCCCAGGCGATTCATTTTCTTTTGAGCTTTCTTTGCCATGATCTTGACCTTCTTCACCATCTATTTAAAAACAAAMAAACATGCAAAGTCACTTCCTCAGTAACTCAGGTAATAAGCTTGACCTTTAAAAAAAACCTAAGCTGGATGTTTTTATCAAGGACAGTAACAGCAATTCTACAAGTGACACTAACCCTCCTTAGCAAAACTCTCAAGTACATTAACACAGGATTGTGCTGTCCCTGCAAGTGCTCGCTTACTAAAGGTGGAACTCCACAGTTTGCAGAATTCTTCAGACTTGCATTTAGAAACATAAATTAAAATGCACTTGCTTGGTTTGTATTATTATATATATATATGTATTACCTTCTCATCCCGAAGGCCAGACACATCCCGTGGTGTGCGAGAGCAGCTGCGACTGCGCGACACCGACCTGGGGGTTTCAGATTCATCCCGTTTACGTTTCCTCGTGGTACTGCGAGATCTTCTCACATAATGTGCCTGAAATTGAAAACATCACTGAACCATTAAAACCAGAAACAATCAGTTCAGACACGCTCCATTTCTAATCAAACAGGAAAAAGAGAAAGAGAATTGCTGTGATGAATTACATTGGTTATTCCATAGTAACCTAAAGACCTTGACAGCTGTTGGTCACTGCCCCTCTGTCCGACAGGAACACTCATACTTCAGTGAATACTAACGTTTTCCCTCCACAATTACTAATTCTGGGGGGTTTGGAGGTTTTTTTTGTGAGTAGACTCCTAAGTAATCAATAAAAAGACAAATTAATGGATAGCAACACTGAGGCAATTTTGCAACGGCAAAAAAGCAATAAAGAAACCTACCTTGATTAGTGTCCTGTGCACAGAGCAAAGCCCTAAAGAATTTCAGACATGAAAACTTATCATGTTATAGCATAAGTATTAAATTCTTTCTCACTGAGATCACTCCTACATCAACATGGCATGACAGCTCTGAGAACCATAAATGCTTGCTTCAGAGGTGTAGTGTTGACAGCCCTTGTTTCCTAGCTCCTTGTTTAGCTAAAGAATTAGAGGTCTCAAGATCCAGGCAGCTGTAATACTGCTGGATTTGCTGTACAAAACGGGGTTTTTTTTTACATTTCTGTTAAAATGAAATGTTTCCTGAAGGCCAATCTCTGTTTAAAGTAGTTTAGCTGCCTTACATTTACAGATGCCAGCTGCCCTCAAAAACTTCAATTACAGCTCATGGAATTAATGAACTATAAAAAGATAGGCCTGATCTCTTGTTATAACTATTTCTGACATAGTAGAGTCTCGTCCAACAAAGAAGAATTCAAAATTAAGAAGTATGTTTAGCCAAGCCTGTTCTTGAATCCTACACAAATTCCAACAAAGCAGTGCACATATATATATGATCCTTRATAAATGTTAGTTTATATTTTCAGCTTACCTAATGTGTTTTGATCATGTTACTCAACAGTACCAACTGCCTCATCTGTGGTTCCTATTTCATCCTTAATAGATCCCACCTTGCTCTTGTGCCATCTATAATAAGCATTTCAACTGTGCTCAAAGAAATTWAAATATTCTTTAGATAAATACTGTGTTTAATTAGCAAAGACTTACATCATCTTTATTGGTCATGTCAAGTCCAAGATCAGTCATTTCTTTCTCTAGCACCTTCCGYTGGACCTATAAAAACACAGTTAAGAAAACAAGGTTCTTTCAAAAAAGAAGGGTTCCACCTTATTTTTTATCTCAATACACCACCACAAGTCCATTATATTCACTATATATTTTTAGCTTTATCACATCCACAAGCAAATAACTGAAGTCCTACCTTCACATTTAATTTTTTGCAACTTAATTCTCTTCACCTATAAATTCTGCTTTGCGGGACTGCAATGGCCCAGCATTTCCTAAAAATCTTACAAATAGTGGGGACAAAGCTGACAAGGAGAAGTATTTTGGTAAAAAATGTTTCCTTTTCTGCCAAAAGGTACGCACTCTGGAGAATGTAAGAGATATTGGGGGCAACAGCAGCTAGATTAATTTTCTCAAAATGTCTAGTTATCCGTTTAATACTTTGCAATTGTCCTGGACCGCTCAGGAGAGACTCTGCCATCAGACCTGGCTCCAAAAAGAAATATGACCTTTTCCAGAAATGGAAGGGGCCCATAACAAAATATACACTCACCTTCTTAGCTGTTCTAGGCATCCTTGGACCATGAACATCTTTTTCCTTTGACTGCAGGATTCTCAGTTTCTTCTTTTCTCGGATCTTCCTTGCCAATTKTCGGATTTCCATCATTTCTTCATCTTCACTTTCTGGTTCACTGTCATATTCTCCAGCAGCTTCTCTCAGCTCTTCCTCTTTCTCCAATTCTTCCAGTTTCTTGGAAGAGATAAAATGGAGATCAGAGGCTTGATTTACAGCCCTCAACATTACATTTTGCATGGTCCTGGGCCATGACAGCATATAGGGCCTTCAAAGAAGAACTACATTCTCTGATAACAATTTCTCTGAGGCACAGCTAATGCAGCTGGTGATACAGAGAACTGTGAACCTATGGACACACTGCTGTACAGACTAACTCAARCACACCACATTATCACTTGGCTAAATTTGTGTGGCTGCCCAAAGCTACCCAGTGTATCACAACAGCTGTACAGTCCTGTGAGCTGTGCTTGCTGTACCATTTCTGGAAACAGACTCTGCAAAACCCTTCTCTTTTGACATTCAGARGGAGTCCAGAATACCAGCAATTCAGAGAAACACAAATGCATAACTGGCAGGCTCTGTGGGCTGCATTCATCAYTCCTCCTTAACAACCAGCAGGAAATCCAAACAGTGATTGTTATTAAATAAAAATGTTACATATTGAGCATTCAGTCCCTTTCCAATAGTAGACATAAATTTGATGGATGAATTTCATATTATTAAAAATACATAAAGTTTGAAGCTACATTCCTKTAACTGTAGTCAAAGAATGAAGAAATGTAACTTCTAGTGCAAACTTCATATTTTAGAATGAAACAGACAAGATCAACATCATTCTARTAAGGTGAAGTAATTTTACATTCTTCTGAAATTTTGTCCTTGATCATYCTAAAATATTATCTTTTCCCACAGCAAGTGCAGACAATGTAAAAAAGAACAGGTTCTCATGATACTTTGTTTTTAATCTACATATAGWAATTGATATCAAAAATTAAGAGATRAAGAGGAAAGAGAARTAGGAAGCAAAAAAYRGAAAAACTCACTCTCATTATGTCTGGATCAATGTAGTCAAGTATATTATGGCCTTCCCATATCTCTGGTATCTTATCRTATTTCTCAGATGAATTCATTAAGTCCCAGTATTCTTAAAAATACAACGTAAGTTGATATAGAGACCAAAATTAATTTCAAAGAATGTTCAGTGACAAAAAACACCACTCAGAACACACACAAACAAAAGTGCCAGATTCCTAAATTTGGCAGCACCTCTGCCATATTCACATTTCTCATTTCCGTCCCACTGCCGAAGATTAGTCACTAACGGCATGACCCGCTGCCCCAAGATACACCATGCAACAAATATACAGCTGAAACACAATACTCATGCAGTCTCTTTCATACTGATACTTCCTTAACAAAGAGAGCATGAGAAATTAATGAAGTACTACAAAACAGAATGGAAAGAAAAAAATCACTTGAATCATCAGACCAGTTGTTTTATGTCTGTGACATAAATGGGAAATAACTGAGTGACATTACAAAACACATCACTGATGATCACCAATTCTGGAACAGAAGGATMGTGTGCAATGAAATGGTGGCACTGGCATTTAGCTGAAAGGAGTCAGGTTTMGGTATTTCCTCTTAAGGCTGAAAGACCCACCCTTTGCTGCTTAGTAATAATAATATTACCAATTCTTATGTCATACTCACTCTGCAGATCCAAAACATAATCATCTCCCATTTCAAGTTCAATATCTCTCTCCTGCAAAAACATACATGGCTTTAGAGACCACCTCATTTACAAGCTATGGGTTAACATAGCAAATTTGAAATCCAGCTGCTGATTTCCTGATTTAGAGATGCCACTTACCAATTTCCTCTTGGGAGTGTCGACTTCCATGCGTTTCTTACGTGCTACTACTCCCTCGGGTATAAAAGGCAATCGCTCCTAGAATTAATTCCASCCCAATAAAAAAGGGAAAAGAAGTTCACATCAATTTTTTTTACACTGCTATAAATCACCTGCAATCAACTGCATTGTAATGTATCTTTCAAGAATACAAAATCCCAAGCTCCCACCAGGAAAAGGCATACAGATAATAAATTAGAAAATTTCACCATATGAATCTGTTCACAGATTAATGATGACAGAATTCTTATCCTACTTAAGAAGTACTGGGAAATACAYGAACAGGATAAACATGTAGCTTACCTTGTTATCTCTTTTGGTTGGCATGGCCAAATGTAATCTATTCAATACTTCATTCACTTTGTTTCCTTTCATTTTAGTATCAACACGATGGGCCAACAGTCTGTCACAGGCCTGAAAGTGCACATGACAACGTAAGGTGAGGAATGAAGCCTTTTAGAAACAGCAAATGACACTGCATACATTCAATTCCAAACATCTAGCTTCACATCTTTTACTGTCCTATACCTAACTCTGAMATTATTTTATATAAAAAGTATCATGGGAAGATGCATGTGCAGATACATATTTTTTAACAGGACTCAAAAAAATCACAATTAAAAAAAAATATTATGACATTATTTCCCATTTTCCCCCAAGTACACTGAAGTTCAACAAGAAATAAGGAAAACATTTTTTAAGTTTATCACAATAATGCAGTTTAACTGAGATCACATTAATGAAAACTAAGAGGAGACACCTACCTCTGTTTTAACTTGGATCACACCTTCTTCAGTTAGAGTACTTGTCTCTATTACAGAAAATCCTTCTGCTTCAAAAGCTTCAAATATTTTCTAAAATTGAAAAATTATCCCAAATAATGACATCCTATTTCTTAATATACCAATACATTAAGAACAGAAATTTTAATCCAGTATCAATACATGCAATGTGTTACTATTTTATTAGGTGTTTCTAAAAAAATGACAGAAAGTTTACAACTATAGCTCTATTTAATCTTTCTTATTTTAAAAGCAAATAACTACTTTCTAAAAGGCACCTACAAATGACCCATAAGGGGGGGAAAAAAGGAAAGTGAGAGAAAAATAAATTCTGTGTGCTTTAATCTGTAGATATAAAAGAATTGGCCTGCAGGAACTTCTATTGCAAGTGTTCAGCAACACCWCTGTGTAGTGCTCACTGTATCTGAACTGTCACTGAACTGGTGAGTAAGGCTACTGTCTAAYTTCCAATTACAGCAGTAACTGAAAGTCCTCACAGCATCAGAGATTTCTGAAACCACTAAGAACCTGCCTTCAGCTTGGCATTTACAATATTCAGGCAAGGATCTACATTAGACAATACAAAGAAAGATGGGSTCAAGCCCTGTACAGCTACTTTCCACTGTACTGTTAGAGCAGTTCAATAAGGGAATGATGATGAAAGTTTTTGCCCAATAAAAATTATAACCATCCAAACAAATACACACAGTATTTGTGTAAACATCAGATGCCAAAGAGGTGAGAGAAATATCCTAACCTGACTCTCTTCAGGAAGTTCTGAGATCCTCTTCACATCGCATTTGTTTGCAACAATTATAAGCGGCTGATAAAAAGGAAAAAACAAAATCAATTCAAGTCACATTGTTATAAAACCCTGGGTTTTATTAATAATGTGAACCAAACTCACCTTGTTAGCAAACAATGGCTTAATATTTTTGAAGAGCTCCACCTGCTCCTCCAGGCTATGCCCACACTGCTCAGACACATCCATCACGTAGAGCACAGCAGCACGCAGATGTGCCAGGGCAGTGATTGCCTGCATCTCAATGGTGTTCCTGTCCTCCAGGGGATGATCCAAAATACCAGGGGTATCTACTACCTAAAAGGAACATCATTAAATCAGGTGTGATCTGCTATTGTAGAACACACGCTTGATTGTTCATCAATATTGTCTTCGTAAAAACAGCAATAGTTTTTCCTTTCAGTGACTGTGAGCTCTGCCAAACTGAGAATGTGAAAACGGAGAAATGGGAGAAGAATGAGGTTTCAGCATAATCAACACTCCAAGTATTGCAGAGGAAGGGAAAATGCTGCCCCAACCTGGCCCAGAATTTGATAATTTGATAAAAAGTGATCTGGTTTCAGTCAGTAATTCCATTTCCCATCTTCCCTCCAACTGAAAACAGACCCATGCATGTACATTTTTRGAACAGATTTTGACTGGTGCCCTCATTTGGCACTCTGGATCTTGCACAGCAGCTGTCAGACACAGCACGTCTCATCAAGACACAAAAATGCAACTCCCATTGCAAAAAAGCCAMTCAGACTATGACCAGCTCTCTCTTTCAAGAAAATGTAAAATAGTAACAGTTCTTACCTGCCAACGTAGATACTTATAATCCATATGTCCCACAAAGAGAGATTTCGTAGTAAAAGCATAAGGCTGCACTTCTACATCTGCTCTTGTAACCTTAAAACAAGATTTAGTCACACACATTTACTTAAAATTTCCTGAAGTTGAAAGCTGTAAATCATAATTGTAACGCACTCTTTTTACAACTGGGGGAAAAAAAAAGCTAAAAAATGGTTATTCTAGCTTCTCTGCAAGYACTTGTCTATCAGAAAATATGCTAATGGGATGCTATTTTGAAAAAGATAAGGATTTTTAAGGACAAAATCCATCATAATTTTCCATTTATTCCTCCAGGAACTTCATTCAGCCTCTCTTCACATTTGAACTTGCTATTGCTCACATCAGACTGCCACTAYGATATCAAATTGTTTAGAAATTACTTTATTTTAATTCAATCGTATCTCAGTATTATTTATGGAAAAACTATTTACATACCTTATTTATAAAGCTGGATTTCCCTACATTTGGGTAGCCACACAGCAGAAGAGTTCGTGTATTGGGATCAATRGTTGGCAAACGAGACAAATGTTGTCGCACTGAAATTTTTAAAAGATTTTTAAAAATATCTGCAATAATTTAAGTTTTACTGAGGGAGAATAAAAATACATATGCTGGATTGTTTATAACATATACATTATGATCAYTTATGAAAGCATATAATTGTTTGCAGACTCCATAATTAACTACATACAACTAAAATAGCATTTCATAAACATTTAAAAAATGAAGACCACCATCTTATATCTAGAATGACCCCACCAAATCAGGCAACATAATCTGAAGGATTAATAAGACTGAAGTAAGGAGTAATGTTTGCAAAATCTTTAGCAATATTTTTCACATATACTTTAGAGAAAAAAATGGTACATAAAAGCATGGGTGTGACTTTTGTTAATGTTAGCAATAGCATAAAACTCAAAGAATATTGGAATAGAAAACTATTTTGTTGAAAAATAAACTCTTAAGTATTTGGGGATTTTAAAACTGTTCCTTTGTTTCCTGGATCTGTAACCTGTACTAAACACATTCTTCTAAGTGTTATTAAGCATAATAAACTTTATATCCAATTCACACGCCTTTTTTCAGCCCGTATGTAACACCAACCTTGCTCCAAATACTCCAGGCTTTGTTTCTGTCTTTTGATGATGGTGCACATTCGTCCCAGGGCTGCCCGTTTGAGCTGCTTGCAGCGGTACAGAGAATCTCCGTACTTCATCAGCCGCACGTAGTCCTTGGCAACACTGTGGGCACASGAAAGCACAGTTCAGCCAACAACCCACCAGGCACGTCCAAAACCAAAGAAATCTATATCCCTTACTTGTCAATCAGATTCTTGGCAATATTGATCTGTCCCAAAGCCAACTTGTAGTGATCTTTGTCATACAGAACATTCATCAGATCTGCGTAAAAAGGATGAATATCCTAAAACAAAARCACAATATTAAATTCTTATATTTTCTTTCTTTAAAATAACTATTTCTTGGACACTATATAAGTTCCTTTTTTTTTTTCTCCAGTACAGCAACACAAATGACACTAAAAGCCAAGGAATTTTCCATACTATCTTATGTAAGAAAAATAATCTGCTTGGTCATTAAATGCATGAATCTTAATCGCTCTAAATTTCTTCTGCAAACACAACTTTAACTTATTCATATGGAGTTTCCATTTGATCTTTTACTTTCTAAAATACTTCATATTACAACTTTGAAGTATTTTTTTTCAAATAAAAAAACTGCAAGATACCAACAGAAATTGTCTCTAAAAGGAAATTAATATTATAGCAGAAACACAGCAATATTATAAATTTCCTTTTTTTCTGAGTGCTGCATTAAACTCTATACAAGACTGAATAAAATGTTTTTTTTTAATGCCCTCACCTTTTCAAGGAAGTGGCATTTTTGGTACAAATCTTTTAAAGGAAGTATTTCAGCTAGTTATGTATCTCAAGAAATTTCACCATGTGATGTTAAAAAAACACCCCAGAACATATTTCTGGGAATTCTTGAGCAACACTTACTGGATATGAAATTATCAAGAAAAACAATTTAACAGGCCAACAATTTCAGCGTGAGCAGAAAACTGCCTATAAAAAAGTCCCACTGGATACATGGATCCAGTTGCAGTTGTTCCAAGTTAATACTGTGTTTCCAGGGCAACCCTTTATGGGGCCAAGGACAATATTTATGTTGTCAAAGTAACTCCTGAAGATGGAAAGTGACATACTATGGTATTTCTTGCTTCCTGGACATATTTTCTAGGGAAGACTAACCATATGCACAATTTTCATATGCACACACAAAGAAAAAATAAGCAGGCATAATATACTTAAAAATCCCCACATTTTSTCTTCATTCAACAGCAACTTCTGGCAAACATATTTGATCAGCTAAAAGCTTGTAAAACCCAACCTTCAGTGACCATCCACAGGCACAACTCAAGACTTCTGTTCTTAGTACAAACACRCTACATTTGCAGTACAGGTTTTGCCTGCAAGTACTCACAGTAGAATCTACTGGAAATCAACCAAATTGTCAACACAGTGAAATCAGCAAATGATAAAACACTTACATCTAATTTCGGGAAATCTGTTAAGATCTGAGTCAGCCTGTCATGGTAATTTTGCTGAGTATATTTGACTTTTCGCATGTAAAAATGTCGAATGCGATGGATTTGATAATGTTTATGGATGACAGTCGGGGTCTTTCGCTGAGTCTTTGACAATGTCAAATCTATGAAGTCCTGCAATGGAAAAAACGTGATTAGTGACACAAAATGTCAGGTTCTTATGAARACAACCATTTTATTTTGGTGGAGGAACAGCTAACGAGGTAAGTTCATCCCCAGTGTGACACGTATGTTTTAGGACARGCAGTAATAAGCAGTTTGCACATTCCCTGATTCTATTCCAATGAACCGGGGGCTGYCCCCGGYCCCAGCCGCCCCGAGCCCTGCGGGGAGCTCCCCTCATCGTGCTTAATTTAAAACCCCTTCCTCGGGCTGGCAGAGGACTTTATTTTGAAGAAAAACACTGCGATGTGGGTCTGTACAACTCAGGTTTGGAAAACAAGAAGGATTTTTATGGGGGCCACCCCGACAGTCCCGCAGAGACAAGCGCGGCCTCAGGATCCCGTCTGACAGGACCCCCCCGACACTGTACATGGTACGGGCCACCGCGCCCAGCAGCACCAGCGCAGGGCGAGTCCACCGCTCCCGCGGGAGGGGGAGGAGGCCAAGGCGACACCACGCCGGCACCGCGGAAGGGGCAGGAGGGCAGCGCGGTCCKCGGAAGCCGGCAGGCGGGAGGGGCGGTCCGGTGCGGAGTGCGATGAGAGCCGGGGCAGGGACAAAGAAGCTTTCTTTTTCAAGTAAAAAACTGCATCGTACCTTGGCAGACGGCACCACCGTGATCTTCTTGAAGTTGTAGAGCGCCATGGCCACCGCCACCGCCGCGCCACGCGCCGGAAAGGGAGCGGGGCCCGAGCTCTCGCGAGAACTGCGCGGGGCGGGCCCGGGAGGGCGGGAGAGGGCGGGAGAGGGAGCGAGGGGAAGGGGAGGAGGGAATGAGGGAGTGAGGGCGCGGGGGGAATCGGCTTGTGGGGTTAAGTCTGGGTCTTGTCAGAGAAACATTTGACCGGGAGAAGGATTGGAGCAGTGGCTCCTTGATGTGATGATTCAGGGCAGGCACGGCTTGTGCCCCGTGGGGCCGAGAAGGCAAAATGCACCCTCACCCTGTTGACTGATTTGTGAAGGCTGATTTCCGTGCACACGAAGGAGCAGAGAAAAAGGATGGGGGAAGGGACCCCAAAAGCCTTACTGGGGCCAAGAGGCYCCCGACTGGCCTCGTCCCCAGGCTGTCACAGCTGGCAATGAGCTCTGTGGTCCAGGAGAGGCACCCACCAGATGGGTCTGCAGGAGCAGCTCTATGGGTCACCCTTGGGATACCTGGAAGAACATCTTGGGATTGTGCAAGAATCACGGAATCACAGAATCAGTTAGGTTGGAAAAGACCTCTGAGGTGTTGAGTCCAACCTATGACTGAACATCATTATGCCAACTGAATGCCACTTTGCCACACACTGAAGTCTTTCCTTAAACACTTCCAGGGACAGTGACTCTACTACCTCTGTGGGCAGCCTGTTCCAATGTCTGATCACCCTTTCTGTGAAGAAATTCTTCCTAATGTCCAACGTAAACTTCCCCTGGCACAGATTGAGACTATGTCCTGTTGTCCCAATGGTTGCCTGGGAGAAGAGGCCGAGCCCCAGCTGGCCACAGCCTCCTTTCAGAGASTTGTAGGGAGTGATAAGATCTCCCCTGAGCCTCCTGCTCCCTCACCTGTTCCTCATAACTTGTRCTYCAGRCACTTCCCCAGCTCCATTGCCCTTCTCTGRACACAATTCAGCACCTCAATGTCTTTATTGAAGAATGTCATGTCTAGGAGAATGTCTTGAAAGATATTTGGACAGTTTAGAGGAAGGATCTAAGCTGTGAAGAACAAGGAATTAGTAAGGCAAAGCACAAGTGAATTCTGGAGCAGTTTAGGAACTTGACTCTACCCTGTGCTCTAGGATTTTTTGTGCATCTCCAGCAAACATGAAATSCAGAGATCTAAGATACCTGAATGCAGGCACATCCCGCAGTCTGCATGTCTACCTCCCATTTTCCACTTGACATTGTTAGTAAGCTGGCGTGCACATCGGTTTTAAATAAATTACAAATTATATTATGCACTTTGGGAGGCAAATTAGATTAAAAATTAGGAATTCCCTTGGTTTCCACACTGGTTTGGTTTTTTTGCTCTCCACACAAAGCATGACATTTTCCACTTGAGAGAATTTAGTTACATATTAATCTGCCATTGCACATTTTYCTACAGTACTAGAAATTTAAATGCTTAACTCCTTTTACATTTCCTCTATTTCACTGCACTCCTGATTTTGCTCCAAACAGCTGTCCAATGCAGTGCAAATTTGTAAGGTATTTTAAAAGTAAGAATTCATCTTATCAGCCAGACAGCAGTTAATCCTTTCCAGCAATTAACTTCAGTAATGACTGTATGAGCACTATTCCATCATAAACATGCTGTTAGAACTATTCCTGTCTCCAGTGTCACGGTGGGGCTGCAGCTCCCCATTCTGAACGGATGTACAGCTTCCTAAACATTTTGGTATGACCACTTCAGTTTGCCTTCTTGAAGCATTCTTGAGCAGTGAGATTTGACTTCACACTATTTATATTGCACTTYGCCTGCAAATACATTATTTTATAGAGTAGAAAGAGCTTTTGTCTCATATATCCCTACATTTCTCCAGTTTCTGGAAAGATCCCTCCAGGAGGTGGTCTGGGACACTCAGACTGCCCAGCAGCTGGGACTAGCAGTCCTTGGCACTTTTAGGTTTGAGCGCTCAAGGCCCACGTGCCCAGTGGGTGCTCCAAACTCACATGCAGA